GCTTTGGCATTTTGGTTCGTCTTCGGTACCTTTGTCGCAAAACTTCTCCGTCATGCCGCAAAAGCTGTGGGGTGTTAGCTGGTATCATTGAGAATCTTTTGACTAGCATACCCAAATTCTGAACAACAAACATTGAGCGGACATTTGGCACCAGGTATCTTAGCGTCTTTGCCACATTCTGCTTTGGCATCGCAATTTGACCAGCAAACATCGTTGGGACTTTGATCGTTTGTGCCGCAATATTCTTCACCATAGTTACAATATCCGGTAGCCTTTGGGCAGCAGGCTCCGTTCTTGCATGGCTTAGACTCAGAGCATGAATAGTCTTCTTCAGCTCTTGGCTGTAGAGCCCGTGGGGCCAGATGCGGACAAACAGGCGCACGTTCTGTATGCTTTTCTTTCGCAGAATAGTCAAACGGACTGGACTGAAGTTAGCTACGAATGCACCGCTTCTAACAATGTTCATCTACATACTGGATTGGATTGACGCAAGTTGGTGGCGCGTGAGATCTCTTGTGGTGAAATCGTGCATGCGACTGATGCGCTGTAGCAGTGATGAGCAGCACACAGAAGACAATGGCCCACCGTGCGAACGCGGAAGTCAATCTGGACATCTCGGCGTCTAATTCCACTGAAAACAGTAGGAAAGAAACCAAGATCAAGGACTGAAAAAGAGCGTTCTCAGAAGCTCCGTGGGAAAATGGACTCTGTCTATCTTACCGGTACCCACAGCTCAGGTACGTTGGCATCAAGGTTTCCATTTGGGCCTACCGTGGATCCAATGGACGCCTGAATAACAGCGGTCATCGTGGCGGCGAGTAGTAGGCGTGCAATTCGCGCCCCTGCATGCATCGCCTGGCCAACGGACTGAAATTTCCAGATTTGTACTGGCAGAGATGCCGCGGGAAGTTTACCATGCGGCCCAGATATGACATCCCATCTAAATTTGCGCTCTACTGCATTGGCGCCTTCGGGGTCGCTCGCTAAGACATCAAGAAATGATATCAGCTTCTACCCAAGCATTACCTAAGTAGGAAGGACATAAGTCACGCCGACTGGGTGTCAGTTGCCGTCCGGAGGTCCCGACTGCAATGTTTAGTGAGCTATCATGTCTTCAGGTACTTCCAGTATGGGAGCAATGTTCAGCGCACAGTGCTGAAACGTAGAGGCGGTTCCCAGCGCTGGCCGAACTCGGGAGTCTGTCCTTTTTGCGACGGGAGTGACGCTCAGGTAAGAATTGCCCAGGGCTAAAGCGCGGTCGTACTATCGAAGCAATTTTGACAGCCTTGGGCCGGAGAAGAAAATCGAAGCGGTGGAGATGACATGACATTACCCCTAAACTAATGCTGAACGTCTGCCGGGCGTAAATCTTTGGCAACTTACTGCAGGTGATCTTCCGGCTCCGAGTGGTGCCAAGCTTCATAGTTCGTGCTTGGCATCAGGCCTTCCGTCCGGATTCGGGCCGCGCCCGCCGCATCTTCAGGGCCCGCTTTTTAGCCTGTCACTGAACTGATTCGGGGTCTAACATGTTGCCAATACTCCACAAGACTTACACGACCCACACCGGCGCCAGATGGATGATGAGAATGGACCCTTGGGATGCGGGTGCCGAGCGATTAGGTGCCCCATGCAGTGCGGCTGGCTGTACATGCCCAGGTGCTTTCTTGCCTCGGTGTAGAATGCGGTTGAAGCATCCTGCATCGTCGCTCTTGGTTGCCGTCATTCCTGTGAGTACGTCTTTCGTGGACCGTCGCAGATTTCCCACAGGACTATACTGACTCTTACAAAAGAATGCGTTCGCATAGTCCCAGGATGTTGCTGCGGCTTTTGCTACCCCTTTGGTATCTCCCATCGACAATTGCGATACCCTTCTTCAGTAACAATACTATCCCGTCCAATCTGACCAGTGATTGTACGACGGCCCTTCTTACAGACGTTGAACAATGTCCTCCTACCGTTGCTACCTTTGCTATTGGATATTACTACCCCCAATCCGTGCTGGAAAAAGCATGCACAACCGCCTGCGTTACTGCCCTTCAGCAGTACGAAGCAAGCATTGCCACAGCTTGTACCGGGCAAACTTGGACGGCATACGATGAGATAGACGGTGCACCACTGGACATGATTGCCAATGTTATGCGGTTCAACCACGATCTTGTTTGCCTCAAGGACGAGGGTCGCTGGTGTAATGTAGTTGCGGTTGCTGCAGCCATGCAAGCAGATCCAGGACGTAGGTGAACCGATACTACAATCCCAACATTATGCTAACCAGAACAGAGAGCCCAATAGGCTGGGACACCGAGCCACCAAGCGGCGTGCAAGCCTCCGGACCCTGCGATCTGTGTTTCATCAAAAATCTGCAGAAGCAGGCTGGCAGTCCGTACTACGACGGACCTCAAATTCGAGAGAGTTCCTTGTACGAGTCAAAGACATCAAGCTGTGGTGTGACGGGCTACCCATTGTCTATCTCGTCTTTGCCCTTCCCGCAGTGAGCATACATATATATATGTTCGCAGCTCCACACTAACTCTTTACAGGCTTCCAGTCGCTAGTCCCACACCGACATCGACGGTCTGCAGTGGCAAGAAATACGATATCCAGACCGGCGATGACTGCTACAAGATATCCAAGTCCCAAGGCATAGGGACTGCCTGGCTGCTTTCAGACAATTCTCTCACTGCCTACTGCGCCAATTTTCCACAAAATGGCAAACTGTGCATCAATAACACGTGCAAAGTCTATACAGTACAGCCTGCCGATACCTGCGAGATCATGGCTAGCTCCAATAATATCACCATCGCGCAGTTGAAGGCTTGGAATCCGGTAGGTGCACAGTGCGCAGATCTCGCTTCTTTACCATTATTCTGACACTCTCAGATCATTAACGCTGGCTGTCATAACTTATACAAGATGAACGGGACTTCTATTTGCGTGTCCAATCCTGGCGTAGCATATGTCACGCCCCCAGCTATGCCTCCTCTGGCACCAAGCACAGCCGTCAGCGCAGCACCCGTGCCTACCAATGCGAAGGACGAATCGAACCGACAATGTGGGCAGTGGTACAATGTTGAGGGCGGAGACTATTGCAACCTCGTGACACTGAGGTATGCGATAGCACTGGCTGATTTCGTATTCCTGAACCCATCCATCAACGCGAATTGCACCAATCTGCTGCTAGATATCAGCTATTGTGTAGCGCCAGTAGGAGACAGTGAGTATATTGATACGCTAGATAATCGAAGTTTGCGGCTGACCAGCCAAAGTTAACACCTACTCTGGACGACCTGGCTACCATACTCCCGGTCCTTCGGGAGTACCATGTAAGTACTTCACTTTGCACTTTGTGCGCCGCATACTGATTGTGACTCTCCAGTTACCAAAGTCACGTTTACGCCCACTAAGCCCGCTACGACAACACCCTCGCCCACGCAGCTGAGCCTTGCGCTTGATACAAGAGACGATTGTTACCAGTATTTCGATGCATCACAGATGGAAAGCGACATAACAGGAACTCTTTATCGTCACAAGTGCGATTTGGCTGCAGATGTCTATGGTGTGGAGATGTCCGAACTGCTCACCTGGAACCCCTCACTCGGTAACGATACCGAAGCGCCTACCTGCAGTTTCGAGCCTGGAGTCCGCTATTGTGGAAGGTTCTACTTCGAGCCGCCAAAGGCCGAGCCCGAAGTAGGCCCATCGCTGGAATTTCCGATCAGAGAAGGGTATGATACGAACTGCACTGAGTTCAGGGACGTGTCTAAGGATTTCACTTGCGAGGATGTTCTGGCTTTGTTCGATCTCACCTTGGCTCAATTCTTTAAGATGAATCCGGCTGTAGGCTCAACGTGTGCGAATCTTTGGACCGAAACGGCATATTGCGTCAAGTCGCCCAATGCCCCACCGCCCGCTACGAGCGTTACTTCGGCCTCCGTTGCCCCAAGCAGTACAGTTCCACCGGGACCTGGGGCACCAACGCACACTGGACAGCCTGCAAACTGTGTTCGATGGCACATCGTCGAGAAAGGGGATGATTGCTCGATTCTTGCAAACAAATACTTCATCACCTTGGAGCAATTCTATGCCTGGAATCCCGCCGTGTCGAATGATTGCCGCGACAACTTCTGGCAGGGATCGGCATACTGTGTGGGCACTTCGGATTCGATCAGCGTGAGCAGATCGGCTCCCCCGCCGTCGCCTACTTCCAGCCCTTTCGTCATACCAACGCCAAATCAAGCAAACAACGCGATCAAAGAATGCAACAAGGCTGCTCAGGCGCAGGAAGGAGACTGGTGTGCTGTAAGTCCACGATATCCGGTTCTGCGTCGCTTCTAGACTGACTCTTATCATAGTTGTTTGCTGAACGAAACGGAATCACCGACGCGCAACTATATGCGTGGAATGCAGCCTTGGATAATGGCAATGCTTGTGGCACTTCTTTTTGGAAGGATTACTGGTACTGTGTCGGTGTAGCCGCGTAAACAGACATGTACAAACGCGATGTGCTACACTCGTCTCTTGTAATGTTGTTCTTGGGGCAACGTTGAGCTGTCTGCGCAGACAATGCGCTTCATGGTAGCCAGAGATCATACCCCATTACGCCTTACATATATATCGGAAGGGCTGGTACCGCCAAATAAAGCCTCCCATTTCCATATTTTTATTTCCTCGGACAAGTTGAAAATGACGGTATTGTGTTGGTGTCGGACGATTCTCGTCGGCCATCGCTTGTTCAGTAGTGATTATCGCACTGGACTGTTGTATATGAAGCCCCGTCTTCTTGAAATAGGATACACGTGCCCTGTGACTATCTTTGGAGGCCTACACGTTAGCATCTTTGAAATCACTCGCCGCGCTTGCGCAACATAACCTTGCATCATCATAGCTTGGTGTGATTGCGCTGCAGCGAACGGGCAGACCGTTAGTCTGTTCCAAGGTTCAGAAACCCTGCTAGCGCCTCGGGCCTCCCGCGTACTTATGTACTCAACAGCGTTCCCGCAACAATGGTGCGCTCACTCCCCTACCTCAGTCGCGTCATGGACAAATTACCACAAGAGCTGATCAACCGCATTGTGTATTTCGCAGAGCGGTACCCAGACCAGGAACAGCGGGCTTCCGCGATAGGACAATCTTTCGAGCCCGATGGTTCGCCATCTCAATTTCCTCGCCTCGCGATCCTCAATCGCACTTGGAAGGAAGCAGTTGAGACCATTACATTTCACCGTCTAGGCATCAAAAGCGATGAGCTGGAATCGCTTCAGTCCATCGTAACAGGAAATCGCCGCAACTATCTTTCCTGGATCAGTTTCGAAGCGGAATTGCCAACATATTCGGAAGAAGCATTCGAACACAAGGAGTCACGACTTGATCAACATGCCAACAACGAGGCATTTACAAAAGCTGTAAGCGATCTTTTCACGGTGCTGCGAAGCTGGGAAGACAACGGTGTGAAGAATGGAGTGCGGCTTACCATCGTGGGAGCTACGTCCCCGACCGACGCTCGGGAAGTGGATGAGTTCGAGATTGAGCATGGTCTCAGCAGAGATATTCAATCCGCTCGTTGGGCAGAGTCGTACCTGCGCCTTGTTGAACCCGAAAATCTGCCCACATTGTCTAATCTGCAGCACCTCACTATCGAGCGGACGGGCGTGCGAAACCTTGCGCCAAGCGTTGCACCAGATTTAGCAGTGGCAATGCCAGAGCTCAGGACAGTGGACTGGGAGTTTCCAGACTACGAGGCTGGTTCTGACGCGGGGTCGGATCAGGACTCGTTGGATTCAGACTATGATCCAGAGTGGGAACCGGCGACATCTCCCAAGGCGCGTGGTGAGGCGCGCGCTGAATTTGCTAATAAGCTCTCGCCGACGCATTTCCGCTCACTCCATTCTGCCAACATGGTCTTTGTACACTGCACCCCTTTAGATCAGAGGTATACAGTTCCGAGCATTGTGCCAGAAGGCTACACACACGACCCGTTCAGTTCATCAATCCGAACCTTCTCACAATGTCTTACAACCCTTACCCTGAGTGCGCACGTCGACCCTACGCTATTCTGGCCATCAGACGAAAACGCGACGCCACCGTCTTGGCCACGCTTGAAGTCCTTCGACATCACGTTTGACATGGTCGCTCCATCAGGCAAATGGTACTTCACTGGTGCAACACCGGCCGACGACCCCCACGACGACCCCGTGCGCGGCATTGTTGGGAGTGTCGATACGCGCGAGTTCAGCTGGCATGACTTCCGGCAGCACCCCGACCCAGAAACCTTTGATCCTTTTCTCGGCGCGCTCGCAAAAGCCGTTGATTGCATGCCTGTTCTTGAGTCCTTCATGCTTACGTCTGAGATGACGGGTAAGACGGGGAGACTGCACATTTCGTATCACGCGCCGGGCCAGAAAGCGGAGTGGGGTGATGAAGGACCGGAGGATGAACAGTACAGGAGGATTTACTACGCGTGTGAGACGGGAGTATGGGTACCAGAGCCAAAGACTTCTGAAGGGCTGAAACGCGCAGGGATGCAAAAGTATGGCGGAGAGGCCATCGAGCGATACGTGGGAAGCCAGTACTATTGAATGGGATTAGATTGAATACGCACGAAAGAACATACACCCCATTCAAGTGGGGCATCATACACCTATGTCTACAAAGCCCAATTGTTGAAAAGGCTGAGGAGGCCACATTGCCTTGACAACCCACAGAGTGAAGGTCTTACGGTGATGTAGGCTTCGGGGTAGCTGTTCAACTTTTCTCTTGAACGAGATGTACGTGTGGATGCGGGTATGGATTTGCTATGAGGTGTGGAGTTTATGTCAAGTATATATCTTATTTTCTTTCCCATTCCTTCACATACGACCACAGGTAAAGGAGTACACCGGATCCCGTTTGCTCTCCACACGTTAAACCTTTAACCGGCCGGCTAGTAACTTGATGGGTGACCGCAAGCGAATCCCCGCTGTTGTATGTTTTTGTTCTTTTTTTGCTGAAAATCTGAAATGGCGGCTCTCGAACTCACGGCCCTCTTTTTGCTTCAATGCGGCAGGCGGTATGCGTGGTGGGGAAGATCACGGTCGGTCAGGGCACACTAATAGACTTGCGAGTCGAATAAGTTGCGCAGTTGATTTGAGTTTCTTGTGTACTCTATGATACATGTGAACTAAGGTTGTAACAAAGTCCTAACGATGGGTGTGTAGGGCTCGAATGAACTACATGCGTAAATAGCGCTGTAGGCTACAGCAAATATGGCAGTAGTGAAGAGCTTTGTTGCGATATATGCCCAAGCCAAACGTTGTTTGTTATTGAGGTCGACGTACGCTCGGGCGGCATGTCGTCGCTGTATAGTCGTGGGTTTGAAGACGTCCGCCTTCACGTCCGCACCACCAACGCGCGGGTGTCGTGGAATCGCTAGCTCGTGCTAGAGAAGCAGCTGTCTCGGCTTGGGAGTTTGTGTGGCTATCCAGAGAGTAGCTCTTGCTGCATGTGTCTTCAGGTCTCTCCCTTCTTCTCTCCCTGCGCATCGAAGCCGAGGCCCTCTAGTTGGCGTATGAGCTCGTTGATTTTGATGACCTTCTCGAACTGCTCCGGTAGCAGCTTGTCGCCCTTGTCCTTCTTATCCTTCAAATCCCTGGCCTGCCTCAGCTTCTTGGTGAGCTTCTTCGCTTCCTTTTCCTTCTCAACCTCAGGGTCGACAACCTTCTCAGCCTCGGGCTTCGCGACCTCCTTCTCTTTAATCTCAGCCGGTTTTCCTGCTTCTTTGGGCTCAGCAGAAGCTTCCTTGTCCTCATCTTTCCCATCACCCGCAGCGGCGGCTGCCTTCTTTCTAGCTTCCCTCCGCTTGGCGTTCTTATTCGCAGCTGGACTCGATATGCTAGTGGGCTCCTCACTCTTCACCGACTCGGCACCTGGCACACCCGCCTTTCCTCTGTTGCGGAAGCCCTCAGCAGTGCGATTCTTGTAGAGTTCGACATCTTCGGGTGGGCGGTAGCCTGGGCGGACTCGGATTTCTTTGCGCAGGGTGCCGTCGGGACGGACGGATGCGGGGATATGGCGTTCGCCGGATGCGGAGGTAGTGATGCCGGCTTTGGAGATTGCGGGAGTCTCTACTGAAGGCATTGTGTCGGTCGCGCCTGCGGTGAGGTGGAGTGGAGGTAGGGTGCGCCAGAGGATGTCAGGCAGTCGCAACGGGCCGGAGCACACCAATCGTTCTGGTGAGACCTCGCCAGGTCTTTTCAGGCGTCTGCGAGGAGATTTGAGGAGTTATCGGTGCGTGTCGCAGAGGTTGAGCTGATAGCGGTGGTGGGGTTGGAAACAAAGTTCACGTCAAAGCGGAAGGCACGACGGGCCAATCAGCGCAGCGCAAATCCCCGTGACGCGAGAGCTTGAATCTTGTCGACGAACCTCAGCCTTTGACATCGCCAGTGAAGCACCACCACATCCCTCTCCGCAGTCAACCCAGCCCTCTCGACACCTCCAAAATGTCTGGCGTAAGTGAATTGATCGGATAACGACTTTGAATGTCCGCTAATGGTCCCGCGCAGATGATCGGCACCGTCTACAAGCAAGTCTCTCCGCGCGCACACCTTCGATTGAACGAGACTAACCATCGCCTGCAGCGCGGTCCTCCGCAGCAACACCACCATGTTGTTTGCCGTCTTCGGCTCCGCCTTCGGTCTCCAACTGTAAGCCACGGCATCCGGAAGAGGAACCTGGGGAAAGGAGAGAGGCTGATAACAGTGCAGGGCGTTCGACACAGGCTCAGAAAAGATCTGGGACGGTCTCAACCGCGGCGTACGTCAGACTGTTATCGTGGACATGGCATTCGCTAATACAAGTCACAGCGCCAATGGAAGGACATCAAGCAGCGATACATGGAGGCCGCCGAGGACGACGAGTAGGACTTCAGCCATACCTCAGTTCGAACATGAAATAGACACTTTCTTACGGTTCTTTGGAGCGGACACTGTACATTGTGGTGTATACTACAGCATGCGAAATACCAAGGCGATGCGACCTACATCCCATACATGAAGCCCCATCAACATGATTGCGTTTGATGGTGTGTTATGGAAGTTCTGACTTGTGACAAAAGTTTGGTGCATGTCTCATAGATGATTCTAGTATACAGACAGATTAGGGCTGCATCAAACAGACCAAATGCTGCTACCAGTACATGGAATCCATAATCAGGCTGTCTCGAACAAGGAACAGAATGAACATGTGCAGTGAAAGACTGATGTCTTTCCATGTATCAGCAAGTGACAGAACACTCCAAGACATTGATTGCCTTTGTCGACCCGCGGGGTTTGCAGTCGGCTGCTTGGTGGCGTCGCGCGTGCCTCGGGGGTCCGCGCTGTTCACGAGATGATGCTCGCAATGACATAGTAGCGCGCATCTTACACCTGCACCTGCTGCTTTCTCTGACCACACCGAGCCTTCCACCAACCCAAGACTCACCCCGGTGGCTGGCCCACAAAACCAGCACTTCGTACTACAAACAACCTCACCGTTGGAGTTCCGTTATTCCCTCCGCCCAGCACTCGCGTCCCCCACCATCCCGCCGCGAAAGCTGCACCATGTACATGTCCTTGCACGAGCAAGAACTATGCCGACACCTGCGCGAACTCCCACGACGACACAACTACCGCTTTGAGCTCGCCGCTGACCGAGAGCTGCGCGAGATTCTCTTCCGCTCTCTTGCTGGCCGCCCCGAATTCCTAGCGCACTTCTTCCCCAATGGGCTTCCCACGGATGCGGAGAAGCCTTGGAGTCTGCGCGACGCCCAGGGTGCCGTAGAAGGCGCCGAATACACAGCAGCCGCGAGAGGAAAGCCGTGCGGGCATATATTCAAGAACGGCGAGGCTACATACCGGTGTAAGACATGCAGCGCCGACGACACCTGCGTGCTGTGCGCTCGCTGCTTTGACGCTTCCGACCATGAGGGGCACCAGGTCTTTGTCAGCGTCTCGCCCGGCAACTCTGGCTGCTGCGACTGCGGAGACGACGAGGCTTGGATACGGCCGGTACACTGCAACATCCACTCGATAGACCCTGAGCGCGAGTCCAAGGCTGCAGGCAAGGCGAGAGAGGGTTCTATGCTACCAGACGAACTCGCAGAGACCATTCGCACCACTATTGCACGGACTCTCGACTACCTCATCGACGTCTTCTCCTGCTCCCCGGAGCAACTGCGCCACCCCAAGTCGGAAGAGTCGATCCTCGACGACGAGCGCAAGTCGCGCCTTACCTCACGATGGTACGATCTGGGCGACGAGACAGAGGAATGCGACGAGTTCTGCCTAGTACTGTGGAATGATGAGAAACACACGGTCAACGACGTCAGAGACCAGGTCGCTCGCGCGTGTAAACAGAAGCTGGCGTTCGGCCTGGCAAAGGCCTATGAGATCAACGACGTCGGCCGCAGTGCCATAGTCTACAGGACCGACCTGAAAGACCTCCTTCGCATGGCCAAGATCATCGAGGAGATCAAGCTCACTGTCACCATTCGATCCGCGAGAGACACGTTCCGAGAGCAGATGGGTGGTGTACTCATTGAGTGGATACAGGACATCGCAGGCTGCAGTGTCGGCGAGGACAACCAAATACTTCGCCGCACCGTCTGTGAGGAACTCCTCAAGCCGTGGCGCATTGGCAGCGAAGCGTCAAACCAGAGTATTGGCAAGAACGGTCTGGATGATCACGAGATGGAAGACAAGGAAGCTGAAATGGATGGCTTCTTCAACGGCATGCTATTACAGCGACGAGCTCGTATCATCCGGGTCCAGCGACAGCGAACCACCGATACCAACGATGACACTACAGCCTCTGACGACGACGATGACGACGATGGCGGGCCTGCAGCAGACACCCAAGATGATATGGACATTGACGAGGTCGGCGCTCAGGATAACGATGGCGACGTGGAGATGGAGGCATACGAAAGCGCAGACGAGGCGCTTGAAGTGTCTGAAGCCACAATGGCAGGCTACCCTGCTCCCCCACCACCGCCACCACCACCTGCACACCCGCAGCGTGCTCAACTCGAGCAGAGTGTCACGCCGGCCGAGTCAGATAGTGAGCCTATGGTTGGCGCACCGTCTCTAAGCCATGCCGAGCCGATACTGCCCGTTCCAGAGACACCTCATACCCGGTCACTGCCACTACGGCCAGCGCGGCCAGCCAAATACTGGTTAGAACGGCCTGAAAGCTACGGTAAGAAGCCTGGAACGCCACCTCACGAAGATCTTTGGCAACGCCTGAGGCTTGATCACTTGATATTGTATGATTTGCGCATGTGGAAGCAGTTGCGCATCGGTATCCGCGATGTCTTCATCAGCACCGTCGTCACCATTCCTGAGTTCAAGCGCCTCTTAGGTCTACGCTTTGCTGGCGTCTATACTGCTCTCGCACAACTTTACCTCATTGCCGACCGTGAGCCTGACCACTCCATCATCAACCTTTCTCTGCAGATGTTGACAACTCCGTCTATTACGTCCGAGGTTGTCGAACGTGGCAACTTCCTTACAAATCTCATGGCTATTCTCTACACCTTCTTGACTACCCGTCAGGTCGGCTACCC